ATACCATACACTTAGGGGACCTATGCGGCGGCTCCATTACGCTTAAGTACCAATGGGGTTGAAAAATTAAGCAGGTCGGTTGAACTCCAACAACACACACGGAGTAAACCTGAGGATGAAAGAATTCAACTTAACTCACTTAAAATCACCGTACCTGACCACTTAACTTCACTGTCACGCAACAAAGTCAATAATCGGACGGGTCAAACGGCTTTCTTTTACTTGAATCGAACTGGCTTTCAATTTCACCAATGGTGGGTGGGGGATCAGGCAAATTGTTTAAGTTCCAACAACACACGCGGAAGAAACCTGAGGATGAAAAAACTGAACTTATTTTGCCCGATATTTCGCTACCAGACCACTTAACATAAGGTTGGTGTCATCTTACAGCACAGTTTCGCAGAACTCTGGAGACGTTTTGAGGATTTTTTTGCAATTTTTTACTTTTTTCAAAAAATTTTTCCGAAAATTTTGGTCAGTAGATTCGAGTCATAAACCAATCCTAAAAACTAGTCCGGTATCTCTTGTCTATTTTCCGATTTCACGGATTAATATTCCGTTCACAAATATCCAAAAATTTTTGGTATCGAAAAAAAATGTCAAGTCAGTTTGTTTATGTACCGACTGTAAGATATTTCATTTCAACGGAACTGTCCAAAGTTTTTGGGTATTGAGATAAATTACCGGGGGCTAGCTTGCGGGAAAATTTCTAGCATATATGACATCGTATATAAGTTTAAAGCACGAATGGAGAGTTTTAAAAGTTTTGGAAACTTCCTACAGCCTACAGTTTTTAATTGGAGGTTGGCGACACCGGGAAATAATCCAAAACTTCGAGTGTCGAGAAAAAGACAGCTCAAAAGTCCAGAAGTCAACAATCAGGACACGTGAAGAGGCCTCTCTTCCACCAGTCTGCTCTTTCGCCTGTCGGCTTACAGGACCTCGTCCAACTGCACACCTCCCGTTTTGGCCAATGAGAATCTGCCGACGACTTTTGAACAGCTTTGACCGTGAGCTGTCGGCCAGTAGGCAGAGTGTCTCGAAGCGCAGTCTGTCCTTGTTCTTCTCCAGGAGTCCGGGGGCGGAATAGCTTACTGGACCTGCGTAGTGTCTCACTGTGAACTGCAGCTGCCTCAGTATGTCCTCATGGAACGCCTCACCCTCCCAGTGCACTTGAAACGCCTTCTCCAAAAAGGAACTGCCACTCGCCTTCGAAAACCGAAGCTCCACTCAGGTGGATCAAAACTCAATGTGCCTGGTAAATTCAACGATTTGACCGCAACACCACTGACGCCTTTTAACAGGGAGTATTGAATGTGCTTTAATAACACTGGTGAAAATTAACAAATCGTCTTAATAGACTTCAGCTGCTCACAGATACTAAAACACTGTACGTGTTTATCGGCTGAACTGTGCGTGTCTCTCGTGCAAATGCGTGAATGAAGGTCCCTTGTGGGGCGCCAAAATGTGCTCGCTAAGTCTCCGTAAAATGAAGTTAAAACCGAAAGATCAAAAATTAGTTCGTATTCTCGGCAATACAGAATTTATCGGATATATTGATAATTTTCATTCAAGTTTTTGCTGTTAAACAAGTTCATACTTTTAACCAATAATCAGCTCCAATAAACAAATTGGCGCAAGCTAGTCACAAGAACCGGTCGGTAATGTCCTTGAGACAAATTGCTCTTTTTCGCGGTCAGCCTTAATCAAGGCCGAACCGAATTAGAACCAAAAAACAGTTAAAATAGGATATAAGCCCCCTTTTAGTATATTAATACATATGCAGGTTGGGGACTCGATCCTTTCAACTGTTCTGTCACACATATAATCGGCGTTAGCTTAGGCCACTCGGCCAACTGTGCTTATTTTATATGCATCTATACTCTTGTTTTATATGCATCTATACTCTACATTTGCACTGCAACAATGGCAAAAAAGCTTCGTTCAACCAATTTGGAACGATTTATAAGACGGATTAAATCTCCGCTTACGCGTTAATAGCGCGAATTATATCGCGCGTTAATTGTCCCAACTGGTCAAAATTGCCAAAATAGCAAACTTTAAACCCTCATAACTTTACGAAAAACGATCACAGGTGAAATATCTTTTCAAATTCAAGATCAAGACAACAATACCTTTTGAATTATATGAAAAAAGTTCCGTCAAAAATAGCTAGTTAAAAATTCGAAATTTGTCTGAAGAAAAAAAAACCCACCCCGAGCACAAATATTCCGTTACTTTCGTATCGAAAGTCGGAACAAAAACTACTAGGATACGAAAAAAAAATCAGGTTTTGACATTTTACTAAATAAATTGCTAGTTTTTCATTAACTTTTTGTCTAGAAGCTTGAAAAATTGATTGGTTTTTTAATGTATAGTTAAATATCTATGAGGGCCCTGCTTAGATCCTTAGTATTCGATCGAAGACTTTTAAATCCAAGAAATTAAACCTTTTCGGCTGTTCTCAGCTCTTATTGAGTACACCCCTTTTATGCGCTCAAATTTAATTGCCAAACCACACTTTGCATAAAGTTTTTAACAACTTTATATGCTAATAAACAATTAGTTCTTAACATGTCAAAGTTTTGTTCTGTAGAACGTCACAATTTCTATTATTTTTCCACTAGATAAAACGGTAATATTTTGAAAAATTTTTATCCTTTCCATCTCTCGAAAACTAAAAGTTGCAACTTGTAGGTCCTGTGTCTGTAGCATAATGTTGTTTACAGCACTGAAGACTAGAATCGAAAAGTTTTTGTTCTTATCATACGGAATGAGTAGTTCGCGGAGAAGTTCTTGGACAACTGTACAATTTATCTCGGAAACATTCACACAGCTGTTTTAAATTATCCGGACAAAACGAATTAAGCTTGAAAAATAAAAACATTTGCGTCTTAAACTGGGAAGATTTTAGACAAAGCTGATGAAAAGAAATTACAAGAAACTAATGTCGTGTAATTCGTTTTTCAAAAATTGGTCCTAAAACTGTAATAAGCACGGATAGAGTTTGGTCCTTTTAATCGCTCAAAAGTTACCGCAAAACTACCAGTTAAACTGCTGGCAAAAATTTACAAAAATGAACCTTTTCATTAACCCAACAAAATGTAAAAACACTCAATACTGTATGAGAAAACTTTTGATTGTTTCAGGCGAAAACAATCATGTATATTTCACAAACTATCATTTTTTCTAAATTCAAAAATTTTTTTTGAACGTTTTGCGTTTTAAATTTTGCTGCGCTCATTTCAACAAAGTTTTGTCAGCATTTGAATGAATAGATACGGCACAAACTTTGATTGACAAAAAACTTGCTTTTGCTTAGATTTTTAGGACCGAACTTCGCAAAACAAATTACATAATCAAAGTTTTATACAATTGTTTTCAATTTGAAGGCGACCTAATTTGAGAAATGCGCGTTTTAAGTTTCCCATTTTTTGCGTTTTGACCGGATAATTCAAATGAACACTATGTAATAACAGTTCAAGATAAACTATGTACAAAAAATATCATTCATAACTGCGATGAAAACTAAAACGTAATAGCTATTAGACCATCATTTGATTTAGAAACATGTTTTTTCCCTAATTTGTAAAAAGATCTTATCTTCATTATCATAAGACTATTTTCAAATGTTGTCCTAGTATTATTATACTTTTTATACCTCACTTGAAGGGACATGTCCTAGTAGGGATTTCAACTAACACACTGTTCATTTCTTTGCAGAAAACGTCTATTAATGAGTCTACTAACCCATGAATGCCCCCCCCCCCCAATTGTGATGAAATATCAACGACAATCCAATTGTTGACAAAAAAAACAATTGTTGATGTTATCGTTCTCACTTTTGCTTTGGCAATTTTGACTTTTTAACTAGCCGTTTCCGACGGAAATTATTCAAAAGGTATTGTTGTCTTGAGCTTGATTGTGAAAATAGATTTCATTTGTGATCATTTTTTGTTGAGTTAGGGGGTTTAAGGACTGCCATTTTCGCCAAATTCGGGCAATTAATGCGCGATATTTTTCGCGTTATTAGCGCATGAGCGGATATTCAATCCGTCTTAGAAATCGTTCCAAGTTAGTTGAAGGAATCTAAATTACCACAATTCATTTGTTAGAAGGAGCGAAGTTTATCTTTTTTGTTTTTAATACGGCTTGTTGGTGGACAATTTTCAAAATGAAAAAAAATCTATGGTGAATCAACTACAGTAACGGGAAATAGATTGGCATTTTAATAGCATAGTCAGGTTTTGGCATTTTCCTGTAAAAATACCAGTTTTTCAGTCAACTTTTGCCTAGAACTTCTATGTCCTGTGTGTCTGAAGTAGAGTGTTGTTTACAGCACTGAAGACTACTGAAATTTATGCTCAGCAATGTTGTCCTGAGCTTAAATTTGAAAAAAAATTTAGGTGTGATCGTTTTTTGTTAAGTTAAAGGGTTTAAGGATTGCTATATTCGCCAATTTCGGACAATTAACGCGCGATATATTTCGCGCTATTAGCGCGTAAGCGGAGATTTAATCCGTCTTAGAAATCGTTCCAAATTGACTAAAGAAAGCTAAATTGCCACAATTTATTTGTTAGTACGAGCGAAATTTTTCTTTTTTGTTTTTTATACCGCGTGTTGGTGTCGATTTTCAAATTGAAAAAAAAAGTCATTTGTTTTATTATATATAAATTTTGCATGTTTTTAGTGCTCCAAAGACCCTAAAAGGCAGTTGGAACTTAAACTTCCACGGCTTCGCCCTGATACAAACAGCCTTGTTTCAGTTTGTAGTTGATGCAAATCTGAATCCGAGGATCAAAACTATACAATTATCATTATTGCTGCTTCCTTCACACCAGAGAAACGGTTTTCATTTAAAGTTTTTCTCTTTAAATAACACGGTAAAATCCCAAAACGAGCTATTTTGGCAAACTATACTCTTCTAACTCTACTAACCAAAACTCGAAGTTAAAACTCATCTTTTTGAGATAAAAAAATATTACTACACGTAACTTCAGGGATCCAAGATGGCGCACATTCACTTCCGAGTTCAAGGATTTTGTGGGATTCAATGCCAAACCCTCTGGAGAATTCTTCATTTCATACCAAGACTTTCTCAAACAGTTCCACCACGTTTCCATCTGTCACCTGGAGACGCCACTCTACCCTGGACAGGTGAAAGAAGATAGAAGGTGCAGGGGGGGTGGGGGGGGGGGTTGATTTTAGTTTCAAAGAGTGAAAGTGGCCGGTATTCAATAATTGTAAAAAGTTTTGGCGTTTCTTCGATTCGAAGATCAATTTTAGTTTTTCACAACGTTAAAAAAAAACCTCAAAATATAAAAAATAGGAATGAGGCGTACATTCGAACAAAATTTCACAGTGGATCAAAATAAACTGTAGCAAGCGACATGATATGATTTCCAGAAGTATTTGAAACAAGCTATACGTATTATAGCTATTTTTTTTTTATTTTTCCAAACAGCAGTAAAAAGTGTTTTAATAATTTATTCTCCCACTGATTAAGCTGAAAAAAAAATTCCGTTCATTTTATTCAAGTCTGATAATTTCATTATACGACGATGCTTTCAGCCACGTACCAATCTTGGTTTCTTCTCCTCTCACCACGGGGAGTGGACTACGGACATCAATGCGGGGGGATCCCCCAACTACTCAACAAGCTACCACACAAACCCACAATTCCACATCACTCTGGATCCAGCTAAGGTCTGTCAGGGGACAATTTTTCATTATTTTGATATGAGCACAACCAAAATTGGGCTCTTTTTCTTCAGTTTTTTTACCCTACCCGTGTTAGGGGACTATAATAAAGATCCTATTATATATTTTTATGGTGGCATGCAATAATTTTTTGTTCTGTTAAACTGAGGAGCTTCTTTTCTAAGCATTTTGTTACTCAACTTTTTCACCTAGTTTTGCTTTTTGCGCATGTTTTCTAAGTTTTTATTACAAAAATTTTTTGTCGACATTTTTCATCACAATTGTTCATACGTGCAATTAACAGTTTGGCATTTGAAATTATTTTTTTTAGGTTCCTGACGATCTTTACCGTGACGACAAAGTGCTGCTCATAGTCGCTCTAATGCTACCCGATAACCGAGGCAGAAATAGACCCATGCCATATGTCGCGTTCTCCATCTACGAAGGTCGTATTTGATATTTATAATATTTTTTATTTGTGGGAGACAATCAATTTTGAGCGACAATTAAGAAGAGACAAATTTTTAGCGGCGGTTGGATCAGTAGTTTAAGCATTTAAGCATACGAAGCAATTTTCTTTTTTGAGTTTTCAACAAAAAACTTTTCTTACTTAACCTTGAAAAGAAAAAACATGGATTTGGTTTCGAAAAAATACTTATTTGCAGTTATTTTTTTAGTTAAATCCGACACCATTTACTTACCACTGACACGTGAACACCTCTCAGTCAACCTACCGATAGCGTCCAGCGGGAAGTTCCAGTCCAAAAAAGAAATAGTCCAGAGATTCCGGGTGCCTCCGGGAGAATTAGTCATCATTCCGTCCACTTACTACCCAGAAAAAGAATCTGCTTACCTGTTGCGACTGTTCTCCAATGCAAAAATGACTGTACAAAGTTTCTCAGCTGCCTAATTTAAAATGTTAGACTAATTAAAAAGCTTTAATTGAACTAATTTACAAATTTGATTAATTTACTGTTTCAAAAAAAATGATAACTTTTTGTCATTTCACCCATCCACTTGCTGCTCATAAGTCGGCGGCCGCCTTTTGTTTGTTTTCCCAGGAAAAACTTGCTCATAGTATTGGATTATTGCAACTTATTTCATTCATTAGGTTGAGTTTGAATTTTCGATTATGAACGCAAAGGAATTTAGGTTTTGAAAGTTGAATTTAATATTGCTCCAAAAAAATTATTGAATGAAATATTTTTCTTTAGCGGAATAATTTTTTGGAGCAATAGTGACGAAAAAAATGTTAAAATAACTGCTGAAATTGAAAGAGCTCTATGCGACGTATTTTTTTTCTGTGAAGCTAGAAACTCATAAAAAGACACTACGAGGCCAAACTGTGCACTGGATAGGCGCACAATTTTTGTGTCTGTATCTTCCTGGATTCCAGAGACAAGTCTTTAAACATGTTCCAAATTGTAAGTGGATTCCATACATTTAGTTTCGGATTCCGCAAAATTGCCTGTTTTTGGAGCAATTTTGATCAACACAGTGTTTTGGCTATTTGTCTGTGGAACCCAAAACAACCAGGAAAATCAAAATAAAAAGCAAGTTTTTGCCTGTTGCTGAATCCGCTAACAACTCACAAAATGCACAGTTTGGCCTCGTAATAGACTATGTATTTTTTCCGATTTCCTGATTTCATTGATACTATTCGAACTGTTTGTTGGCTATGTATCGAAGCTTCGCGAGGAGGAGGAGAGGGATAATCCTGAGATGCTTCTACCATTGTTAAAAAAACTATTATTCGAAAACTTTTTCTCTTGATATAGAATTATCGTTTGTAAATATGGCAAACGTAGTTGCTCTTTAGCAAACTTTGACAAACTTTGACAGATTTTTTTTTCCTCATTACAAATATAACACTGTCTCACAGCACAACTTCAAGCGTGTATTGAACTGAACGTATGCAAATTTCACGCTTTGCTTTGCTGTCATGCGTTGACATAAATATTTTTCCTGATGATGGAAGATTTTGAAAACTATGAGGCCCTCAAAAATTGAATTATCTCAAAAAAAACATTGTCGACAAAAAAATGTAAAAAATCCGTGTTTGCTGGATATGTCACTGGAGTTTTCTTCAAAAGCCATTTGAAACCTTTCTCTTAAAGGGTCACTGAAAGGTCACTTTAATAGATGCTAAATTTTTTTGGCTCGATGAAAGTAATCACGCAGAAAAATCAGAATGGCCGTTTTATTGCGGAATTCGCCTTCAATTCACAAGTTACACAAATTTGGCCCCGTATTAATGCAAAACTGGTCAATAATGAAGGTTAAAAGCTTTTCTCTGTTAATGATAACTCCTTTTGAAGCTGCAAGTCATTGATTTCTACGATTCTGCAAGTTGAAATTGTTTGTTTTTTGAAGACACTAAGTCACTGTTCAAAATTGTTAGGTGTATGTCTTGTCCGTTTCTAGGTTGGCGATGCCGATGATTCTGTGCTTTGTTTGATGACAGCTTTGATCCATTTCAGATGGAAGGGCACACTTGCGAAAAATGAGCCATGGGTGCATTTTATTAGACTTCCAAAACTTTTTGATTTGGCAAAGCTAGCTACGCCATAAACACACCTAAAGTTAACAAACTAAAAATATACTGAGGCAAAAAAATATGATACCAACAATATGCTCCCTTTTTTCCCTCTTTTAAATGCTTTTCGAGGCGGACAAACCGCAAAGTTTTTAAAAAAGCTTAGAATTTTTGGGGCGATGGGGTTCAGGGTCGGATATAGGGGAGGAGGGGGGTATGGGCCTCATCCTTCCCTCTGGTATTCGACCGCTTCACAAAGCAAAGGGTACCCTCTTTGGTACTTTTTGTGCGATCCATTTCCGGCCGACCAACCCTAACATTTTTCTAAGGGCTCTTTGGCGCCAAAACATAATAACTTTATTAGGGTGCGCCCGCCAAAAAACGCAATATATTGATCAAATTTTTTTGACAATTTGCTCTTCCTCGAGATAAACGAGATCCGCACCTGATGGGGTTGTTTAGAGAAAGTGTTTTGTTTTCATCACCTGGGTTTTGACGATCCACAATGAGCCATGAAAAGAGGACCCCCACTATCATAGGTACACAGACTCCCCCCAGAAAACAGAGGGGTGGTACATATCAAGTCCGGTCGACAGGGTTGTTGTCCGGGGTCTGAGAATTCGTTCGTTGAGGCAAACTCTGATTCTTGGAAGAACACGTCCAACAAAATTGATGACAACTTGAAGAACAACAAATTTCCACCTCTTTTCCATATTTTTCCTGTCTTGTTGAAAATCTTACTGAAAAGTGGAGTCTTGTAAGTTTTTCCGGTCAAGTTTCTCTTATAATTCATATGGTGACTCTCTCCGATTATAAACCCCCATTCCGCAGCGAAAAATTCTTACATTTTTCTTTTCTTTCAAAAATTTGCAATAAATTCAAAATCATCAGACTA